CATTGGAATTTCCTCTCTAGGTACCGGCCCAGCCAGCGTACCGATCTTTGACGCGGAGAGCCCAGCCACCAAGGTCATCGAGAGGCTCGTCAAGGACTTCCACCCCGAAGCCAGGTTCCACTTCATTAGCGCCATCGCGAACCAGCTCCGCTTCCCGAACACGCATACTCACTTCTACAGCTATACGCTGTTACATCTTTTCGGACCCCCGAACGACGATTCGTTGGCGTTGGAGATCCAAGAGACGATCACCCGAGTGTTGTTGGAGCGCCTGCTGGTCCATCGTCCTCACCCATGGGGACTCATCATCACGTTGTTGGAAATCCTTAAGAATCCAACATACACATTCTGGGACTTGCCGTTTGTCAAAGCGGCTCCTGAAGTACGTAATCTTCTTATTACTCTTCTGTCCAATCATACTGACTCGTCTTCTTTTGAAGGTTGAGCGACTTCTCAATGCACTCTTCACGCATGCACAGTCGAGCCCACGACCGCTAGCTTAGGCAGCTGGTGGCAAGATCTCGACGTTTTCAGCACGAGTGTACCTCCAAGGCACCAACAACCTTCCGCCGTTCTTCATACGCCCAGCGTAGTCCGACGGTTAGTGTATCTCTCTTAGGATCAACCACACGGCCGTCATCTCTTTTCCTTCTCGGTGTAATACCTTTTCTATACGCATCACTCGGGGACTTCTCAACCGCTTGCGGGATCACGACTCATTGGGCTGGCTGGCAAAACAACGGGTCAACGATAAACGTACGTGGGACGGGAAAAACCGAGATGAGCATGGTGGGCTAGGAAGGGTGACGAACGCTTCAGGGTCTTCTTGGTATCGTTTTCTCAGTCTTTTGGTTCATGATGATACAGAAAAAGCAAGGGAGTTCTTCGGAAATCGTCTTTGGGTATCTCTATCCGTTCGTGTATGTCTTTGCTGCGCATTTCATGTAGAATAAGCATTGCTCGGCGAAAACTTGTACTGGGGACGGGATGGATGTAACTGGGTGTGGTTTCGAGGCGCGAATGCTCTTTACTTTCTCCGTCATCGTCGAAGTGCATACATTGTAGGATATCATGAATGGTGTTTTCTGTCTTTGTTGTTCTTCATTTCGGAAATGTGTTGTCATGGTGATGTGAGCACAAGGGATTGAAAGGATGTTCAGTGAAGGTGAGATGAGATGGCTATCGCATACCGCAATCGTTCTCTTCTTATCTCGGTCTATTGGATATGAAGGTGCGTTATCGATCTCTCCGCCGATACACGGCGCGACAAACGCACGTCTTGACAACAAACAGATATTCTCGATACATTGGCAGAGATGTGAAGATGTTTAGGGAAGGTGAGATAGGATAGCTCCCACGCGCGCTATCGTCCTCTTCGCGTCCCCCAGTCGACAGAGAGCGGCGCGACAAACGCACGTCTTAACAACAACAAACGGATATCTTCACTCTCACTACTCACTACTCCCCGTCGCACAAAAGGCCCGAGCTCGCCACGCGCTCTCTCACCTCCAGCTTTTCTTCACCTCGTTTCCCTTCCCTCACCCACACACCTTTACCTTTACTTCAAAATCACTCGAGACTCACGCGATCGCAACCGCAATCGCAATGGATCAACCAGCCTCAGGCAACCACCACGACCCTCACGCGATGGCATCGCAAGCTGACGCCAAGCCGACCGCTTCGACCGGCTACCCGGTCGCGTATTTCCTTTGCGATGGTGTCACTGAGAAGATGCTCAAAGCGAGTCCCATCCATACTCACCACTTACAAGCCCCACGCTAACTCCAACCTCCCACTCCAACAGACCTCTCTCATGCTGTCCCGCGTGCCCAAGCTCCGCAAAGCACGCATAGCAGGATACCGACGTTCCGTGCGCTCTGGCGACGGACCCAACACGCTCGCATTCGATGCAGTAAACTTTGGTGAGTGGAGCGGCGAAGAAGTCGTTAAAGGCGTTGTTTTTCAAGCGTTCAATTTGGAGGAGGAGCGTCGTGTGATTGAGTATGCGGGAGGTTCCGGCGAGGTGAAGCAGGTGGTTATGAAGGTGGCTTGTCCGAGTGTGCTGGGCCTGGCGGGGAAGATGGAGACGGTGTTGGGAAGGATCTTTGTTCCTGAGGTACGTCGACTCTTTCTTTTTACGTTGAGGAAGTGGTGGAGATTGGCGGGTAAGTTTGCTGATGTGCATAGGGCGATGGTGATACTCTTGTTGGGAGTGAGAGCAGCGATCGCAGTACGACAGCTCAGCATGGAGATCGCAACGAGGACTTCATCGACGAGTTCAGCGACGAGGACTTCTCCGAGACCAGCTCGCAGGCCACCGTCGAGGGTCACCCGACCCCACGTATCTCACCTTCGATCTCGACTCTCAACGACGCGGATGTTCCGCACAGGTCTCTCGATGACCTTCCGCTTTCTGCCATCAACGAGCACCCAGCGGACTCGATGATCGAAACTACGGATTGGGCGGCCACAAGACAAGTTGAGGCCACGAACTTCAACCAGATCGAGGAGCCTGAGGAGATTCAAGACGTCGAGGAAACCGAGATCGACGAGTCCGACGAGTCCGAGGAAGATGACCAGGAGACTGAAGGCGCTCAAGAGACGGAGGAAACCGAGGTTACCGAAGACAAGACCGATACTATCTCCATGAGCTCAACCAGATCTCTAAGACCATCAGACTTCCAGAGGTTCCTTGGAGCAGAATCCGCACGTGCAGTACCCTCATCGCCTTGGCAGCCAACCGTCCCCTGGGAGAAGAGGACTGCGCTTGCACCTGTCCGCAACGAGATCGTACGCACCCCTAGCCAGTTCAGCGGCACTGAGACCAGGAGACGCAAGACTAGTGACAGCATCAAGTCGCTCGTCGATCACTTCGAGAACTTGTCGCCGATGAGCACTCCTACCAAGGACAAGTTCGGCAAGGACGGCTCTTTCAAGGACGGTTCCATCAAGGACAACTCTTTCAAGGACGGTTCGGTCAAAGAGGGGTCTGTCAATGACGGCTCTATCGAGGACTCTTCCAAGAACACCGACAAAAGCGCCTAAGTGACGCGAAAACTTCGTGCACTGAACAGAAAGACTTTACAGAAGCACGCATCGGCACTGCTACGTTCGTTGAACCAAAAGTTTCTTTGGAGGGACAGGAGTGGCTATATACGGATTCTGGATGTGTAGGAGGATTGGTATACGAGAGACTTTGTGTGTCTACTCAGTGAGAAGGGTTTCGGGGGTTTACTTGTATCTCTCTCACAGTACCACGTGTACATTTGCTTCATTGCTTGCTTACATGCTTGCTCATATGCTTGCTTCTACGGTTGCTTGTTGGCCTTCGGCTCATGAGATACTGAAGTATGACTCATGGTGGAGGACAATGTACTTGCTTGCTCTCATACACTGCTTCTTCTGAACCCTTCACGTGATGGTTGAGTTGGTCAACGCCCCACCTGGCCCGCCTTTTGGAATCTTTGATGTCTCTGGTACGTCCTTAATCCACCTTTACGAATTATTACACGTCCAAAGCGATGATTGGGTCCAAGTTCCTCTCCACGATCGCTACCAGCAAGAGTCGCCCACACACCGAGACAGATTACATTGGCACGAGAATCACACAGTAGGCCAGCGTGCTACTTGACATGACAACTATTGGGGCTGTCAGAAATGCAGGTGGCAATCCAAGCCATCTTGAAGTTTAACTCAGCGACCCTTACAACGAACGCGCACTCCACAAGACCAAACAAAAGCTTGGTTCTCGCTTCTATTACCGCCATAAGTTGATTAAGCTTCGTGGCTTGAAAAGCCCAGGGATCAGGATGATCTGCCGCCGCGCGTCCGTCCTTCGTGGTTGTTGCATCACTTTGACTGCCTTGGGGCTTTCGCATGATCGTTGCGAGGAATCTTGCAGCCGGAGAAAGCCTGTGAGCATAGTGCATGAACAATGAGCGGCACATACAGTATAGCAGTGCGAAAAATTTCATGAGCAGCGGTTATGGACAAACTCGAGCGATGCCAGTGTCGTGAAACGCTGAAGTTAACGAGAACTCCGCACTCAACACCGCACCGGCCTTCCAGAGTCGTGATATTCTGGTACACGATAAGGAATAAGCTAAGAATGTACTTTCTATACCGTAATGGCATGCCATAGAGCTGGGCCGTCCCGTCGGGGGTCGTCTGCCCGGCCCGGAAGTGGAGCGTTATGAGCCATAATGTGCACCCTGCCCGAAGCAGAGTAACATCGATATCGATTCTTACATCAGTATTCATAGTACATCTGCAGTCGTCGTTGCCTCGCTGCTGACCTCAGCAGGTGCGGAGTGATGGGGTATACCTTCTCTCTTCCTGAGCAACAGCAGCTGCAACCACACACTTTCCATCTCATCCCATCACAAGTTCATCCTCAACTCATCAATTCTGCAAGCAAACCACATCAATGCTACTGGCCCGCTTTGAAGACACGCCTAGATCTGAGGTTCGCCTCGATCACTGCTGCGGAAAACATTGACAGCCACTGACACCGCTTGCGTCGTGGCTACTCGACACAGGTGAGTAGCTCTTTGAACCCACAACCGCTTTCTCCAGGCTTGCTAACGGCATTGCCTCCAGGAATTGTGTAGGCGGGCATCACTGGAGACAACTCCAGTCTGAGTCTTCACTTACGCACTCGTCGCCAACAAAGTTTCATCACATCACCTGCGCACCAAACAATCATGGTGTTGCCTGATGAGCTCCTTTCTCTTCTCGGGTGGAACAATTCAGATGCATCATTTTGCAATGGTCTCTACCACATCACTCTTGAAGAAAAGCTCTTGAATCTCCGCCGGATTGCATACGCGTGCTACTTCCAGGAGCTTCGGAACAACCAGCCCGTTACCCAACCACTCCAAAGAGCATACGGGCTCTTGGCACAGGACGCTTTCTCAGTCAACAATCGTGCGACTGCTTTGGCAGCTATTGTAAACAGTGCTTGGCCTCCGGGCTCATGGACTCCTCTTGCTCCCAATCGGATGTATCTCCATGTAAGTTTACATGGTCGAGTCTGTGACATCCAACTGAAAGAAAGCTGATTGAAGATACCAGACACCGAATGGATGCCCCAAGCAGAACATCACCCAACGTGCATTCATCCGGGTGAACCAGGCCAAGAAACCTGTCTCAACAGTGACATTGATCGGGCAACATGGCCAAGAAGAGTTTGACCTCCGCGACCCCTCACAGCTATACAAGCTCTTCGACGCGGTGGTAGACAGCGAATTCATCTTCGCGCTGAAGGAGCAACTTCGCCTCCAAGATGCTCTCCAGCAGACAGTGGAACCTCCACCACAGTCGACAGCCCATGCTCATCCGGGTTTGCCTTCCATCTGGAATAACCAAGTTCAGCCTCCCGCCCACGCACTCGTCGGCAAGAATAGCCAAGTTCGACCTCACGCCCGCGTACTCGCTATCAAGAATGGACCAAAGGAAGTGTCAAAAAAGCCCTCCCGAAGGAGATTGATGGAGCAAACCTCATTCAAGACACACCCATGTCGCATGCGCTACCAGCTCCTCTCTTACTCCGCAATCCCCTTCCACCTCATCACCTGGCCACGAAGCGAATCCGTGGTCCCACCTTCAGACCTCGCGGAAAGTTCCGCCCTGCCAGATTTCATCACCGTGGACGGCGAAGCAGGCTGCGAGTACGACGAGATGCTGCTCTTCTACCTGATGGGACTAGCGATGGAGCGCCTCACACTCGAAGGCTTCGCTGAATTAGCCCATGAGGTGTGCGACCTCCGAATCCGTTTGTCGCGGAGTAGACGCGGAGTTGATCCGCCTTTTGGTCCCACGTCAGGACGACTTCTCGCAGTGGAGCCACACGGGCTGGATGATAAGATACATGTCATTTGTCGGGGAGACGTCGAGAAGGATAAGATCAGGATGTGGGTGGTGAATGAAGACCAGGGCCAACAGAGCTGCATCATTCGCATTGAGAAGCGTTCCGAGAATGCATCGCGGACGCTTTCGAGTCTGGGGAAGAGGGAGGTGTCGTCGTCGCCGAGGGTGTACTGCGATATTGCGTCTAAGAAAGTGAAGGTGGAATGATGCGGAAGGGGTTGTAAGTGGCAACGTTCCTTCTTGTCGGATTCTGTAGACAGTAGTAGGTACAATAAGACCCTTCTTCTCGATTATATTTACAATTACTGACAATATTCCAGCTATTTGCGCAGATTCTGTATCCCATTCCTTATCGCCAATGACAGTCGCAACGTTGCGAACCGTCTTTTCCAGTATGCTCAAGTCATTAAAATCGTAAACGCCATGTTCGCCAATCCATCCAAACAACAACTTGTAACCCTATCTTTATTCCTCTGAGTTCCTCGCATAGTACCTTGGTCGGGGTGTCGTCCTCCTCGACCTCCGCTCTTCACCCATATCTTCACTCTGCCTCTCTATCCGCAGCATCTCGCGCACCTTGCCATCGAACGTAACAATGATGTGGTACGGCACCTGCGGCGATGCCAGCCCGGACGACGAACGGGAGAAGTATCCGCTGCCTGCCGATGACGCAGGCGACAAAGGTGTGATGGGTGTATTAGGCGACGAGTCTCGTGACGACGATGCAGACGATGTTTGGGTATCGATCGTCGTAGTCTGCGCGTGCGAATCCATTTTTAGGTTTTTTTCGAGGGTCTGGTATGTCGATCGTATCGTGCTTTTGGTGGTAGTGGTTGCGGGTACGGTACGATGCGGTAGGGCCGAAAGTTTAAGAATAGACAGCAGCAGTAGTAGTGTACCGACTCTGTGCTGAATACGAGATGGGAAAGCTACACCAACAAGAATATTGATGCTCGTGTCCTGGCTAAGAATATATTCGTGTGTGCTCGGATGCGGGTGGCAGGTGGTAGATGCCTTTCGTTCCGTAACGCTTTGTTTACGGGTTTGGAGAGGGCCAAGAACAGGTTGGTTGTCGGGGTGGCTGGCCGATGTACTGCTATGTGGGCAGGTTCTAGATGGCTTTTGAAGGTGGATCAGGGAAGATGTTGCGTAGACCCCTGGAAGCGCGTTAGGGATGATGCTTGTTGAGGGCTTTTTGTTGCTCGGCCGGCGTCCCGCTGCGGGATGACAGGATGTGGAGGTGGTACGTACGAGAAAACCTGCAAGTGCTACGGACGACTTCTCTTTCCCTATTAATCCGTGATGTGCGTGAACGAGAAGATGTAATGCCCCGTCGATAGTTGCGCAAATATATTGTATAGTGACAAGAATATCTGAATCGATATATAGAGCTTGATAATAGTAATAACAAAAGCCCACCAAAAACTCAACAGCTCACCCACATTCCATGGTGAAACCCTCCTCCTATTTATCGAAAAGAACCCACATGGGCTGAGTCCGACGGTCGAGCGCTCGAAAAACACCGCGTCAGCGCCCATCCATCATCATCTCGGAGGCCCACTTGTGGGACGCGTTGCGGTCAGGCATCCGAGGCCGGCCGCCGGCCTGCTGTGCTGCGCCTCGGCTCTAACAGATCGCCATAGCGTGCCTTGAAGAAAAACGTGAGGTGGCTGCACGTGTGTTACTATGTTTAGGTTGTGAGTTGTTCCATTGTTCGAGAAGGAAAAGTCAGGCGCGCAATGGTGTGTTCATCTTTGCTGTGTGGGAGAGTAAGGGCAGGGCGAAGGACGTTGGCTGTGCACCGTTAGGAGAAGCGACGGGGGTGTTTGGAAGGAATTATTGCCACTTTGGGCTGTGCGAGGGTGCGAAGCGAGGGCAGAGTCAAGGGAGATGAGCCCCCTGTACATCAGGACAACGGAACTTGTTTGAAACGTTCTTTCTTGCTCGCGAGATGAAGGCGAATTTCGAAGATCGCACTTTGGAGAGATGAGGGTGAATTCTTCGATGGGAATTCGGCAGATGCTATTCGGTCCTACCCCCACAATCTAATGTCAAGATGTTCACCTGCAATGTCAATCCTGTTCCACCCTCACGAACGGTTTTTCTTTGAGAACTTTCGCACTACATGAGGTGCGTCTTACAGTACTGTACAGCTCGTACACTCTTTGCGGGCACATCATGATGGCATTTGAATTGCGTCTTGGCTGCTGCGTGCGCCACCTCCCTTACATACCCCGAGTATGAAGGTCCGTCGACCAGTCGCATCCTTACCCCAATATCGTCATGATAATCCATCGCTCCGCCATCGCAACACTTCACTCGCCAGAATATCCATCTCACGATCTCTCACAGCCTTGTGCCGATCTCCTCGTATCTACACCGTGTATCGCTTGCACCATGGCTAAGGCTGCCCTGCATCCAACCCCGCCATTCACATCACCCAGCGCTCACTTCAGCCGCGGATACGGGCTCCCGGATGACACCAACACTACAAGTACTATGCCATGCGAGGCAACCTTAACTGGACATCATCGCCCGCCAAGTTGGCAGCATGCGGGGCGCTCGAGGCTTAGGTTGACCGGTTACCCGTCTTGTTTCCGATCCGCGGTTTGACTTCTGTAGCTTCTCGTGGGATGGACTTGATTGGGAGGTACAGTCGATGACGTGGGATTATGGTATTTTACCATGGTACCACGTGCATTGGGCGAAGTTACTTGATGGCAGTGTTGATAAGTATGAAAAGGTGGGTGTTTCCTTAATTTCGAGGTTCTTGTTGTGTTTCATTGCGTTCAAGCGTTGCGCATCTTCACTTTATCACCCACGGAAAGAATTTGCGCAATATTTACAAACGGCGCATTATCGAGCATTACGAGCTATTTGGCACGAGAAAGCGAACATGGACAATCAAAAGAAACAAGAGCGGCAGGAGAGGTCTCAACGGCAACAACGTAAGCGATGAACACCCTCTTCATCAACACCATCCTTAACTTCATGTTAGCGAGGTACTCGATGAGCGATATACCCGAAGACCCAAACCAGCGCAGTGCATCGTTCATGCCATCATCGCGGAAGCGTGCAGACTCGCATCAACCACGGACAACTCTACACCACACACCTCGATCACCCGATGATGAGCAACTGTCTCAACAAGCCGTCATTTCAGCATATCTGAGATCGTCGTATTCTGACGACGACACGGGGCGTCCGAGGAGGTTCTCATCAGCTGAGCCCTACTATTCGCCATCACCAGCACACCACAATCCGCAGAGCGAGATCTCAAGAATAAGCGGCAACTTCAACGCGCCAACGGCCATGGAGCTAGAGCGACACAAATCCCACAAGAGGAGTTCGCGGGGGTTGGGGAAGCTCAAGAACGCCGTCAGGGGTCTAGTCAGGGCATGAGGTTTGTTGGTTGGGGCTCAGTACCTGCTTTTCGTCCTACCGCCCATCTCCTACTCTGTCACGTTACACGCATTGTCCACTGTGTGGACCCAAGATACCCCATCATTTCGTATATGCCAATTATTGTTTCATCATGTCCTGTGATCTGCATGCTCAGCTTTCCGGTCTTTGCTGTGCGACACGGCACGGCTGATGGTGATGAATGACATCATTGGACCCATCCATTTCGCAACGCCACACATCCTTCGCTTCGCTTGCGCCTCGCTTTGCCCCGTGTCCGCCTCCCCGATAACGTTCATCGCCAACATCATCATCTTTCCAGATCATCGCGTGTCATTAAACAGCCCTGGAGTCCAAGACTGAGTCTCCCAGCTGTGGAATGTATTAGCCAGTTTGTCATAGAAACCAAGCACTATACGCACTCCTGTCTTTGAGGCGTGGTCTTCTGATGAGCCACACATCATTTCCTCATCCGGACTGCGATAGCCAAAGCGTGGCTGGGCACGATGGCGCTGCAATGACGTCGTAGTATGACTTACAGGATTGAGTATGGGTCTGTGTCATGTACATCATGTGCATGGTATGAGTAGGCAGCTGTTTAAATATCCCAGCCATCGACCGCAGCAGCAGGACACGCGCAACCAATAACACTTCCATCATCAAAGGACGCTAGTAGTCACACCACATTTCAAGTCATACAAAAGATCTCAGATCTTGTTTTCTAGTCTCTATACTACTACTACCACTGCTGCTACTGCTACCGCTACTACGAGATCGAGTCATTCCCAAACGAGAAAATGGACCACTACCCCGAAGTCAGCGTCAACGAACGCGAAACCCCCTCTTCGATGCTCTCCTCGCGCCACGACTCCGCCTCGTCCATCGCCAAAGCCGCCGCCGCTGGTCAAAGACCCTCTGGAGCCTCCACTACAGACGACTCCGCAGCGCGCAACTCCTCATACACGTCCTTCCCGAGTCCATCAACGCACTCGCACTCGTCAAACCACTCCTCAACCCACCGCAGCGACTCGAGCTCATCGTCCAACTCCAACCTCCAGCGCATCGAAGCGGAGTACGCGCGGTATACAGATGCGCCGCCGCCGTACAGCGAGAAGGCGTATGAGGGCAAGAGCGACGACGAGAGGAATAACATGCGTATGACGGATTATGCGAAGGAGATCTCGAGGATGATGGGACGGCAGTTGGTTAGGGGGTTGAAGATTGATGAGAGGGAGAAGGGGAGGAAGGGGGATAACAAGGCGAGGTGAAGGTGGGGTTTGTGATGTACGATGTGTATTATGTGTTGGAACGATGGTCGGCCTTGGCCTGGTGTTGGGTTTATTTGTATTATTACCACGATTTCTGGATCATTAGCACAGCGGTGGCGTTTGGTGATGATCTTGCGGCGCCATGAATGTGCAAGAGGCCTTCGGCGTTGATACCACTAGTTCAAATTGGAGTTATCAACTTGTTACTTGGCCAGCTTCTGCTGTATTAATTTCGAACCATATGACAGACCGCTTGCTAGCGATGTTAGTTCATGCAGACCGTTTCCGCTTAAGTCCTCTCTTGTTCATGTCGGCTGCTCGTACATTCCTCATCGCTTCAACCAAAGGCGTTTCAACGACGGTGTCAACGTCCAAGTGCATCAATTCCAGTTGCGGCGGCATCTTGATGCTTCTCCCATCACTCCAACATACACCTCTGATGAACTTTTCAGACTCCTCGACTTGCTCCTCTCTGGTGTCGCCAAGTAGTCCGCACACAGTTTGCCACATGTAATCTACGCCGTAATCCTGTGGGCAAATGCGATGAAGCACGCGTACAGTCTGTATCTTGGGAAAGAGCTTTCCTAACCGCGTTGCAATCGAGACAACATGCCGCCATTGCTCCTCGCCGGAAGTTTTTGTCGCAAATAGGTCGTACTGGTCTCGGAATTTCCCGATTCCTGTGTCGTGAAGGATAGCCACCTTCTTAACGAGATGTGCATATGTTCGCGACAGGGGCAAGATATGTGAGCCTGCTACGTTGAACTGCGTCCGGTATTGGTATAAAACGGGGCAGAGTTGAAGGGGCTGCGCGTAGAGTGTTTCGGCGAATTCCCAATGCACTTGGCGGCATGTTTCCATGATACCAAGATTACGTGATCGGGGACTGCCCGGGATATAATACTTCAAAGCGCCGAGCCTGTCGTTCCAGCCGTCGCCGTTTGTCGACAGATTGGTGCAGATGTAATTGTAGATCATGTCTCTCAACTCTCGCGGTAGATCGAGGAACCCGACGCCGTTGTCACCTGCCATCCTCTCCCAGGTTTTGGGTATAGGCCGCTGCCTCTGGTTAGATCGAATCGACTTTGGATTTTGGCCAGGGGTATACGCACAGGCTTTCGGTACGCCAGAGCAAACGTGTACTCGGGTGCGTCTGCTTTGGTTGGAATATGCGAATCCATACTGATGGGATGGCATTGGTCTGACCCGGTGTCAACAAAGTCCTGAAATGTGATCAAACTGACCGACTTGCCTGTGAACATGGTGTCTTAATTTTGCTTCGCGGTCGCCGGCTGTTCAGTGCTTGCTATAAACTTCCGAGTCAGCAGGAGCCTAAATAAGTCCACTTCTATAGGCCACGAGCAGTTCAGTAAAGGAATCTAGATTGTAAGACAAGAACTGAAGGCGAAACAATCGCTGGCTACTGAGCAACTTAGACACAACATACCAATCCTCAGTCAGCACGGAATCACCGACGTGCCCTATCTCACACCACCTAGGTACCTGTGCACCTACCCGTGGGCCGGAAGCTTTTCCACCGGCTGCCGATAGTTCTATGGCTATGATATATTCAGCAGCACTTTGCAATCATAGAGTTAGTCGTGGGCCGCATTTGAGGGATCGAATTTTGTGCTGAGAGTACCACGCCGCATACATGCATACCTAGGTAGTAGCGCGGGGGGCGAGGCTGGGTGCTGACTCAGCGGCGCTGGGGAACGCTAACTCCAGCGCTGCGTCCATCTAGTACTATGACGCAGGCGGGCAGCATCTTCGCGTCCAAACATGGGTTCACGTTATTTTCTCGCTAGTTATCTCTCGATAATGTTGATAGCTTCCATCAATGCTAACGACACGGCAACACTCACCCGAATTGACGACAGCTAGCTGACATGACAAGTCGCGATGGCCCAACCACGCGCAGCACGCAACGCAACAAAACCTTCCACCCAGCACGCGAACCCGTGAGACACGGCACCGGCCTACGCCTCGAAGACGATCGCGTCACCGGCCCGGTACCTTTCCTCAACCCCACGCGAGCCCACTATCGTCACGACGACCGTCCCGATGTTCGCTACAAGTGGACTTCGCGCAATGATCGCAAAGGACGACATGCCGTAGACATCGAACACAGCCAGACTGCCATCTCAACGAAACACGATACCCCACGCCCGACTTCCTCGTTCCGCAGCGTCACACGCAACATCTGGCGGATGTTCACATACTTCCCCGTATGGGATGTTTCCTTCGATGTTGCCTTTGTCTTCACATTGGGCAGCGTGGTATGGTTATTCAATGCCTTTTTCGTCTTCCTGCCGTTGGTACGACCAGATTCGGAATTCACAAACGAGGAATTGTATGGTGGGGGCATAACGGCGTTTGTTGGAGTGTGCATCTTCGAATTCGGGTCATTCCTGCTCGTAGCAGAAGCTGTGAATGAGGGCCGATCGGGGTGCTTCGGATGGGCGGTGGAGCAGATCCTATCGCATGAAGAAGAGGGAGATGTACGCATAGAGCTGCGGCCGTCAAAGTCGCATTGCACGCACCATCACAACAAACGGCATACTGTCAGGACTCGACAAATCGCCGAACCAAAGCCCGATTTGGAGGCGCAAGAGCGTTCCTGGGTCTGGTGGCCGTCAAACGAAGAATTGCGGACCCACTACATTCATAATCTCGGGTTCATAGCGTCCATGTCCCAGCTGCTCGGCGCAACAATCTTCTGGGTCGCGGGCCTGACCGCACTGCCCGGCATATTCGATCAGATGTCGCAAACTCTTACCATAATCCTCTACTGGACAACTCAAGTCGTTGGCGGGATAGGTTTCATCATTTCCGGAGCCCTCTTCATGATCGAGACTCAGTCCAAATGGTGGAAACCTGCTCCTCGAACGCTGGGATGGTGGGTCGGGGCCTGGAACCTCATAGGTGGTATAGGCTTCACGCTGTGTCCGGCTTTCGGCTACGATACCCGGAGCTGGGCGCAATATCAGGCGTCACTCAGTACCTTCTGGGGTAGTTGGGCTTTCATGATCGGAAGTACGCTTCAGTGGTATGAGAGTTTGGAGAAATATCCTGTGCAAGTTGAGAGTGACAGGTAGCACAATGTTGGCCGACTTCAGACGTTTTTGTTCCCATGCTAATGTAAGTAGCCGGCCATCGGGAGCAAGAAGAAAAGCCGAGATCGCACCAATTTTCGCGTCCTCTTGGTTCGCAATACCAGTCGTTTGCACCGCTTTCCCTCTACCTTCCGATGTAAGCTTGGAATATTCCGAGTTGCTCCTTACGTGAAGAACGGGAATGGAAAGCCCTGGGGTGTTAGCGTCTCCCACGCGGCAGCGGCAACTCTTCAAACAGGAACTCATCTTGACTAAATGACGTGCCCATCACATCTCGTAACCCCATCACAGGGCTGGTCAAGACGCCTCACGTGAACGACGTTACTCAAACGCAGACCAATTCGGCTTTTCTGTCCCCTCCTTGCTCCCACTACGCCTGAACGCTAAACCTGAAACTCTTCGTTACCCGAATCCACTCCTGCCCTTCGGCGGACGTCATGAGTGACAGTTCCACACAAAAAGAAGCCCTGGAGCTTTATAGGAGTGAAGAGCTACCGAGCATTTACAACAGCTACAACACAAGTCCAGGCTCCAACATGCTAGACACACCCAGCACCCTCAGACGTAGCAAGGAAAGACAGTTGAGTGTCGTCGACTGGCACGGCAACGACGATGCGGCAAACCCCAGGAATTTCCTCTCGTGGAAGAAGGACATGAATATCGGTTGCATATTCATCATGTGTTTTGTATCGTGAGTATCTTGCTTCATTCATACTGTAATCACAACCCGCTAACTTTCAGTAGACCATTCACGTCCTCCGTCGTCGCGCCAGCAATGCCAGACATCATAAGAGACTTCGCATCAACCGATGCCTACCTCTCTGCCTTCGTCCTGAGTATCTACGTCCTAGGCTACGCGTTCGGTCCCCTTCTCATAAGTCCCCTTTCGGAGCAATACGGCCGACTGCCTTTGTACCACGGATGTAACGTGCTCTTCACGGTAAGCACCTTCGCATGCGGACGATCCAACTCTCTCGGCACCTTGGCTGTCTTCCGCTTCCTCGCCGGCGTGGGCGGTAGTAGCGTATTCGCCCTCGCGCCATCCAGCATCGGTGATCTCTGGGTGAAAGAGAAACGCGGGGGGGTCATGGCCTTGATAGGATTGGCGTACAATCTCGGTCCAGCGATTAGTCCTACTGCGGGTAGCTACCTCAACGCTGCGAGAGGGTGGCGGTGGATATTCTATCTTACTGCTATTTTGGGCGGGGTGAGTACGGCGCTCAGCATGGTATGTTTGTCGGAGACGTATGAACCGGTTCTACTCCGTCGAAAAGCTGCACAGTTGCGGAAACACACTGGAAATAAGGATTTGAGGGCCAAGTCTGATTTGGACGCTGGGACGAGCAAGTTGGTAGCTTTTCGCACGGCGATGGTCATGCCGCTACGTATGCTTTTCCTGTCTCGACCGATCTTCTTTACCTCGCTGCTCACGGCTATCGGATACGGATCCCTATATATCTTGTACACGACCATCCCGACAACATTCGTCGAGACTTACGGATGGGCGCCCAAAAACCTGGGCCTTGCTTATCTCGGTACGGCTGTCGGTAACCTCATTGGTATGCTTGGAGGCGCTGCAATTAGCGACGGCCTCGTCAAGCGGAAGGCACTCAAGGGCGACACGAGACCGGAGAACAGATTGCTACCCATGATATTTTGGTGGCCACTTGTGAGTATTGGGTTATTCATCTATGCTTGGACGGCTCAGTATGGTGTGCACTGGATTGCGCCATTGATCGGAACAGCGGTGTTTGGTGCTGGGTCTATGAGCGCTATTGTAAGTTCATCCTCCTCAACTCATGTATCTTCTTGAGTCGGTTCTCAACACTTGGTATACGACCGCTAACTCTCATCTAGTTCTTCACAGGCACATACATCCTAGACGCCTACCCGCTCCACTCCGCATCTGGCATGGCCGCCTGCTCAGTCATGCGCTCACTCGTCGGCGGTCTTGCGCCTCTCTTCTCGCACAAGATGTATCAAAAGCTCGATGTGGGGTGGTCCTTTTCGTTGCTTGCGTTCATCGCTCTTGCTTTCGCGCCGGTGCCGTGGGTGTTTTATACGTTCGGGGAGAAGTGGCGTGCTGGTGAGCGTTATGGAGGGAGGGGCGATACGGGTGGGTTGGAGCGAGAACAGGTGGGATCAAGGGTCGTGATGGTGGAGGTAGATGGGAAGGCGCTTGCGTGATCAGTCATGGATGTCGTTGAGTTGGATGAGATGGGGTTTGCTTTTGTGCAAGGTCGCGGTTGCCTGATAGGGCTTAGCCACCATGATGCCTTACCTTGCTATGCTCTCACTTCTAGCCTTGGAGCACTTCACTCCGACTCGTCATTGTCCTCTCCCTGCGAGCGTATCATTCTTGCGATTTCTCTCACTCGTTCATTTCCCAACGCATGCCCCATACTCCACTCGAATGGGTATTGTACTTCTTGCGGCAATCGCGAGTGACCCTCGCTTGGTCGCAGTACCATGGAATGTGGTCGTTGTTGCCCATATCGCCAGGTCCAGCGCTGCCCCCATGAGTCAACTTCTCGATGTATCATTCCCTCACACATTCATCATCATAACAAGTTCGTCTAATCACATTCCGTTACCATCACATGTTTACTGCAACACATCCGTACCCGTTCACTTTTATCAGCAACGCAACGCTTATATTGGGGTCACTTTCACTATCGCCAGTCACCCAGAGTACGCACGCGATATTGCGTCCGTTTGCGCACCGTCACTTGCACCCGAAAAGCCTACTTATCATAGAAACGTTCATCACCCGGCACATCACAGATACTACACCGCTCCCCACCTCCCGCCTCGCCAATGATCGGCCAACGAAGAAGCGCACACGCCGAGCCAGCGAATATGGCACTTCCCGCTAGAAGTACGAACATGTACAATAGACGCTACATAAGCACCGTCCGTAGCTCGGATAAGAAGACATTCAACTTGAAGCCCGAAACCACCCGTCCGTACCGATCCGGCGATCCATCCGTCACAAGTGCTCCAGAAATTCCAGGCACAATGAAGATTATCGTCGGACCAGTGTCAAATCAACAAACCTGGCATATTCCCAAAGCACGTCTAATACGACATTCAAGCATGTTCGACGGAATAATCGCCGCAGACAGAAAGATTTCCGAAGTCCATCTCCCAACCATCACTCCCAAAGCCTTTGCCGATTTCGTTCCATATACGATCTCGAGCGTATACAGTCCGAACACAGTTGTTACCGGTTACCGTAGTCTACGAGCACACACTGATGCCTGCCTCCTCGGGGCTAAGCTCGAAGCGAGTGATTACTGGGAAGCCGCTATGCGGGAATTGTACTGGCTTGTCGATCCACTTGCCCGGTCGACAAGATCCGACGCGAAACAATCTCTCATCCGAGCGAGTGATATTGCGTATATCTGCGCTAACACCACCGCCGAGAGCCTACGTCGTATCGCGATCATCGGTCCTGTCGCGAGAAGACCGTCTGTTGGCTCCCCGCCTCCTCCAAGACAAGACCGCCACAGTCAGGCTTCCGCCGGGATGGAACTACTCCAAAGACTCTTTTTCGACGCCCTAGCCTCTCATTGGTCTCAGCGAGATGTCCACTATATCGGCGCACAGGATTCACCCCGTGGCGGCGGTTTCAACAGGAACGATGTACCGGGCGATAGCACCACGTGGGGAGAGCTATGCGAGACGTACCCTGACTTCAAAACCCATATGAGCAACACCGGAGACATGCAAAGTCGTTACCGGGGCAGTATACTGAGCGATGTCAACACATACCTCGGCCTTCCAGTTAAGCCCGACCCCCAAGATGAAGACAAAAGTGAGGGTAACAGCAGCCGCAGCAGTGCCACGGCGGTCCAGACGGAGGATGTTGATGACCTCGTGGAAGAAGAGACGCAACGGCCAAAACTCACGCTCAAACTGAGGGGTCTTCTGAGGCGGACCAGCAGTAGGGTGTTCGGAGAGGAGGGGTTGAGGGATGTCAGGGAAGAACACCAAGACCGTCTTAGGTCTGGGGAGAGCGCGGATGAAGAGGACTCCATTGACGACGCCGCTGAAGAAACTGCGACCCACGAGACTACGGAGGGCGTGGACGCGGCCAGAGATGAATCAACCCAATCCGATGAGACTACAGAGGGCATAGACGAGGCTGGAGATGAAACATCCCCTGGAGAGGAGACTACGGAGGACATGGACGCGGCCAACGACGAAGCATCCCAAACCGATGTGACTATAGGGGGTCTGGACAACGGGTTCGAGGAGGAGTTCCTAACCGGCTTTAGTGGGTCGTTAGAACGTTCGTGATGGGGGTGGTGAACAATGTTGTGCTCGGGATCTTGGGCGCACTCTTTGACTTATGAGCTGCCCACGTACTCGTTTGGTTTCAAGCATGCACGATCATTCCGGCCATGTCTTTCGGGTGTGCTTGTGCGAAGAGCGTTCCTGGATATCAAGTAGTGCGAATGATATCATGTTGTCGCTTGGATGTTGCCAACTCTTTCGTATGTGCACGACATACGATGGAAATATCAACTACCCTGTAGTCTACATTGCCGTTCAAGCCGAAGTTAGCAAACTATTGAATTCATGTATGCTCCTGGGTTGATAACATTCAAGATGTCATGTGGGTGGGTGTTCGATTTGTTTTGGTCGTCGTATACAACTGCTTGCTGTTATGGCTTGTGTATGAGGTATACAACACCCAATTTTACTTGCGCTTCCCTCGATTCCTGGGCTCATCAGGGAGAGGACTCTATCATTACAAAATATTAACGCAATTAGGTAGTAATACCGTGGATCCGTATCATGACCTTCCGGCGATGAAACATCAGCGCCCGCGAGGCTGTCACCAGCGTCAACACGTCGGTTTGCCTTGTAGATGCCTGACTCCCCTTACGATCAGGCCTTCTGAGATCCTTGGGTTGAATCCTTCGGCTTGTGCAATGTGATCAACACCTAACACATGCATCCAGCAGCGGTAAATAGTAAAAGCCACGCCGTAAACACACATCTACCACGAGCGTCTACGGACATCATTCCGACTTGAACCACCCCTCCGTCAAGGTTGAGTCAACCCACCATCAACAACCCCCTAAGACCACCGTCTCAGAACCACAAGAAAGATGGTGGTTGCTAAAGTGGTCGCCAGGCACCCTCGCCGCACCCACGCATCTGCCACCAGCGCCTACTTCCAGACCACCCACCTGCCCAAACCGCCTCCCTCCGCATCCGCATCAGCAAGGCGGCCAGGCTAGGCCAGACCACGAAACCCGCTCACCCACCTTACTTTACGTACCCCAACCCACATACGCGCGCCTCTATTCATGGCATATTCGCAATCGAGTGGCCCAAGTCATCCGAAAGCGCATCACGCAAGCGCTGGTGTCGCCCCCAAAGGATGAGGCGAGAGCGACGTGGACCTTTTCTTAGGCCTAACCCCCGCCCGCGAGCGCCGCGCAACCGCATCGATGACCTGCAGTAGTTTGCTACCCGTGCCGCTCGCTCCCTGGATCAGTCGAACGAACGAACTGAACGAACAAAAATAAAGGTCAAGGCTGGATGGACGGTGGATTGGAAATATGGAAGTTAGTGGTGATGAGTCAATGTGTTGATCAGCTCCCGGGCGTAACGCGCATGCGCACGCGTTGTTGGCGGCGCAATCTACTTCGTCAGCGACAACGCGGTGCATCTTCGTTTTGTTTCTCCGCTGAATACGCAACGCAACGCAGCGTAAGGCAGTCTATCAGGTCTCACGATGCAAGCAAGGACCGACTCCATGTCGTCAGCTGATAGTATGCAGCCGGAGATGCGTTGCGGCTGTAAGATGTAGCAGCTTGTTTCTGCACTGCCGACACTGCGAGAACATTTTGTAAAAAGGTGAGGCTTGTTTCATCTTATGTTTTGCGCTGTTGGCCCACGGGTAGGTGGAGCAGCGACGAGGAAGCAGGCGAGTGAGTTGGTGAGGCGGTGGAGACACGGCATTTGGCAGACCCATCTGTGCGAGGCGGCAGACGAGGATCCCGTGGCTATGTATACATGACATGGTATAGTCGCCCAGCTTCCTGAAGCGCGAGGGTTGTCCTTGTGTGTGAGCTGGGTATGAGGCTGTCAATGCATGGTGGATGGCGAAACATGTGAGTAACGGTGGGCTGGCGCGGGTATTGGGCTTGATGGAGCTGGCAAGGCTAAGAGCCAAGAGTAGATGATGCTCGTGGTATTGTGTGAAGATGCCCATCAGGTGATTACTGACATACGGAAGGCGAAACATTGAAGGTTGTAAGATTTGTGCTGACGAGGCTGTCGTTGCTTCGTGATGTGGCAAATGGTGTGAGTAGCTCACATGACTTATCGCATTCAGAGACAATGTCACTGAGAGACAGCATTGTTCTCATGCGACTGCATCATGTTCGTGATGGCAATGTTCACATACACGTGACTGGAGATGCCTCACTCAGACGAAGTGCTGCGTACGCCAAGTGGAAAACCCGACTGCGCGCGGATTCTCGGGCTTTGCGACGAACATGCTCAACGTCTTTGACCACTTCACCATGCATACGGCGTACGGCGTCTCGACGCCGGAGTTCTGCCCTGTAGTCGGACCTTGCTGTGGAAGAAACTTCGCAGATTACTCGCGGCCGCTGTGATCTGCGGGACCCTCAGAGGCTCAGATCGAATCACCCCATAACCACGACTAAGCTCAACGCGAGCGGCTGTACTCGTCCAGAAAAGCCATGGAACAACACAACAGAACCGCAGAAGGTCCGACGTCCCTGCCGATCCAATCTCCTCTCGGCTGCCAGAGTGTAGAGTTTGGTTCGGTGGATAGTTACCGCCGACTAGAGGGCTGCTAGAGCTGAGTGTTTCATCATCCATCTCGATTACTCGCAACGCACGCGTGCGACCAGTAGAGGTTCTTGTAAGCGACGCGTTAGAGTTCACGCTTCGCCAACGAGCCGGGCCCCAGACGGAGACTCCAGTTTCCTTTCAATGAACCATGGTGGAGCACACGGGTGGCTTGAATTCAAAGCTTTGGATGAAGCCGCTTGACGAAGTTTCCGGTGCGTCGTTATTGCTGCATATACTGTTGGGACTGACATGTGAAGGGGGTGTGTGGGCGGGTGATCTAAAGACGCGAGACATGTGGAATAAACTCCGGTTGCTGAGGCACCAGCCGGGAACAATATTTTGATGAGTTGTGATGATGTTGGTCGATATGTGAAGAACGTTTCCAGAATGACGAGCCTGACCCCGAATCTTCGTTGAAGTGGGCTCCTACGTCGTTGCTACCTGCGTATGCATGTGCTCGCTGATCGGACCCTGGGAAAGCGGTTTCTTCGGAAGCACGATGAGAGATCTGACCTCAGCGTGCTGTATCAGAATAAAGTGATGAACAGGGTCTTGCATCACCGACCGCCGATGATGACGTCTGGGCAGGCATCAGCAACCTTGGAATGAAGCCGCGCAAGCTAACCCGAGAAGATCATCAGCTAACAGAGACGGCCTCCGTAAACCTTACAGAACAACATAGGATAGACAGATATCCACTTCGTAGCCAAACTTGTTATGTCAGAACAGAACGCCGCCAGGGCGAAGTTCCCGCAATGCATAATGATATAACGACATGGCGCTGCAAGACTTGCGGAGTCTGGTCCTTCCTTAGTAACCACGAAACGTTTGCTGCCTGCGCCGGCCTGGAGATCGACGAGGAAAGCTTCGGACCGACTCAGAGCGGTGTATACTATATTTTGCCATGCGTTTTGCTCGGCCAATCGAAATGTACACAGCCGCAAAGCATGTCTTTGCCAGCATTCTTAATTGCCACAGCCTACCAATTTCGGCGGGACCAAACAAGATCTGAGTAGGCACGAGGAAAACAAGGCTGGTGTGCTGTCATTCGTTGGCCACACGAAAGTTTTCAGGTGGCCACAAAGTCTGGATCTGACTGGGCCTGCAATAGTGGGTGGTTGATCTGGTAGTATCGTCACTGGCGTCGCCTGATGTTGCCCCCAGCCGCAGACGCCACGTCGCAGGATCTGTAAGCCATCGAGACACTTGTGGTGGGCACCACATGTCGATTGGATGTTCCCTTGATCACACTGCCGCCGTTAGAGTTTGAGGGCGCAGGAGGTTGAGATGGCGGGGCATTTCAGTTTTGGCGGGTGTCTTATCGATGACTATCGATAACGGGCTTATCCTGAAATTCGCGCTGGTCAGCATTTGGCGGTGAAAGCACTGGAGGCTGCGACTCTCGACCACCTCCACTGAAACGCTCGAGCTTTGTGGAGAACGCCTGTCCGGCAAGGAAAGCATGCACGATTCTGAATCAGCGGGATCGAAAACGCGCATAGAGCAGCCTACGGCGGGTCGGACGGATCAAAGCAGACAGCACGATGCTTGGAAACGACGGCATGTTGACGGATGGAGGTTGTTGAGGGTTGCACTATTGCAAACTGCATGTTACTATGCAGCGCGCTCACAATTCACCAAGACACAAAATGTGCGCTCTATGAAAGAGATTGCTAGCGCCTTGACAAATTGCCATGCGCATCGAACGGCTCAGCTCTCACCCGCGGCCATGCCCTTGGGAACGGCTCCTTCATCTCGAATACCAACAAAGTTTTCAGCCATGATATTGACCCGCAAAGGAACAATTTCGCTCAGGACATGATCTTCGGTCCCTTACACTCACAGACTCCCGCTCGTAAGTTTAGCCTACGGGAAGCGGACTTGGCTTGACTCTGTGCTTCTGCACGGATGACGCCGAAGAGCAGAAAAAGAATTGGAAGCTGCAGGTGCTTGCACGGCTATCTCGCTTGCGCTGGGGTCAGCATCGCAATCTGGCGCACATCCCAGCTCCTACGACTCATATGCGGACAAGTCGAGTCGGTTATCCCTTCAACGGGCATGGATACGGGATGAGATACGAACCGGTAGAATACTCTGCTTCCTCGATCTGGAAGCCTTGGAAGACGTTCTATCGTTTCTACTCGTTGGGAGCTGCTACGACCGGCAAACCATAGATGAACAAAAGTTCGCCCCAACATATTGCGCAATAAGCCACGACAGCAACAGCTGAGCGAATGGCCGGTGTGGGTGGAACAGCAAGACATCGTTAGGCGGTGACTGCCAGGTCACAAGGCCATGACTGGATTGCAACAACACGTAGGTCTAGCAGGGCGCGAATGATGATTGGCACAAAAACACAAAATAATCTCCGCATTAATTGGCCAGGCGGAGCAGTCTCGAAAATTCTGGTGGACGGTAGCGTGCCACTGGCGGGCCCAGCTCGTCCAGACAAAATTGCC